AAGAGAACAGACAACCATAAGACAAATTAGTGTGCCCACAATGTCCTGTTGTGTTTCAGTTTCGAACCATGGACCTACAGGCCTTTACAGATTATCCTTAGTTGATCTGTATTGAATGAGATGAGGGCTCTATAATAACAGTATATTTTATCCCCATATGATGTTTTTGCTGGCAGATTTTTGGGTGTTCTCTTGTCACAACAAATTGTAATAAGATTGGGATTATACTTCTTTAGGAAAGGTGCTGGGCTTAGCTGAAGCACATTCAAGTCAAACAAAACAAACCCTAGTCATATACATCTGTATGATGTACATGTACATGGCCTCTAATTATGATATGGAAGTCCAGTGTAAACCAGGAACTACTATTAGTATATGTAGAGACTGTTTAAAAATAGAGTATAGAGTATTATTGACATCTTGATTCTAAAGATATACCCAGTCACTACTTCAGTGACTATGCAATGCCAGCATCTCACAGTCTTTAGCACTGAATATCAGTTTCCTAGTGTACTTTATAAGAGAGGTTGGCGTATATATGCTAAATAACTTGTACAATACACATTTCAAAGACAGGGATATTCTTTATCACCTATGTGCAGGAAACGTGCTGGTTGCTGCATAGGAATGACCCCATAAGTACCCAGGCTTAGCAGGATAATTGGCATTTGTGGAACAACTGTGCTTTTAATTGTTTGTGGGCTCTTGGGAGATTTGCGGCACATGTAGGATAAACCATATAATAATAAATAGTTAGGGAGACTCAGAAAAGAAGGAAGGAAAATAGCAGGATTGTCAGATCTTTGAAAAATGCACAACAGATCAGTGAACAGCTGCATTTCCGACATCTAATGTTGTATAGCCATATAAGTGGTGATCCGTATGTCATCATTGTCAAAGAATTTGAAATGTGAACTGCATTTTTTTAGTGCCTTGGCTTTTCTCTGACAATTATCTTAAAAAATCAGCACTCCCCGAGGTCTGCCCAAGCCAGATCAGATGTGTTTTCAGCCTAGTGAATTGAATTTCTGAAGCTACTTGTAGGCTGATTGCCATCTGCAAATTACTGTGCAAATTGCGGCAGTATCTCCTTTTTCCATTTGTGCATTCGGGTGTGACGTCTTGAATTTTTTAGAGCCCAGAGGACATTAGCAGGTGTGTAAATTGGTGCTTGATTGGTTGACGAGAATGTGGTCTACTTGAAGCGATGTTTCGGCAGGAGTATTTTACTTTGATTGTTATGAATTTGTTATGAAGTTCTGTCAGTCCATGGAAGATAAGAATAGAGCGTCTGGGAGGAGACTAGAAATAGTTCAAGAGAATGCTAAAATGAGGAAAAGGAAAGATTGGAAAAAATTAAATATGAGTGCAACCACTATGCAATGCTGTTGCTGATATTGTCATCTAGAAGACATAAGTACTATATTTAGGACCAAAATTCATGTGTGATCTAAAGCTGTGTTTTTCATCTAGTCTAGATTCTTGGGGAATCAAAGGAGTTTGATTGGTGCTTCCCTTTAGGCTGTAAATTAGAGGACTTTTGTAGATGTGTACCACTCAGTGTGTGCGCTTCTTTGTGTTCTCGTTTGATATTTGTTCCAGCAGTGAGCTCTTCCTTAGATGTTAAAGCTCCCTTTCATATAATGTATAAGCTAACTGATAAGCAAAAGGGTAGCATCCTTTTAGGGCCCTTTTGTAGTCCATGATATTAATGTCATATTTTCCCCAGACTGCTTTTTACTTGGAGCTGTTATCATCATGTACCACGAAGTTGAGCTTACACTTTTACAGCATTTTATGTCAAAACATATAAACTTTGGCTGCCTTGTGTTAGGGAGTGGATGGGAACTCAATTTGGGCCACTGCACACAACTGTTGCCGCTTATTACCTGTACTGATCCATGTGATAGCCACTGTCATGCCTGTTTGGGTCTTAAAATGAACAGAAAAATGTTACTGGCAGGGTTAGGGCTGCCTGGTGTCCTTTTTGGGGTTTCTGGGCCAAAAGTTGACAGGGGATCCCACATCCTGCTAAGTGTAATTTGTGCCTCATGTGTTACCTTCACACAAAATATCATGTGGTCTATTAATGTTGACATGAAAGTATGGGATGATTTGTAAGCTTTGAAACCTGAAAGCATGTCCTGTTGGGAATTCTTATACATTTGTATGATAGTTGCAGTTGCAATTCTGTTGTAACATTACAACAATTATTATACAATTTTCATTACATGGCATAATAATATAAAATACATCCCCCCCCCCAAAAAAAAAAATTGAGGACATGATAGTAAGACAATTAAAAGTTTAAATTATTGCTGTTTCTTTATTTTTTGTTTTATGTTTCCAAACATTTTCCTCCATGCCCATCCAGCCCATAAGGAGGTAAAATTATCCCGCCATTAGTTCTTCCGAGGACAGGAAGTTGGTACAAATTCCTCTTTCATGCTGATGAATCTGAAAGAACAATGTCAAAACATCACCTCTGAAATATGTCCGCACCCTGCAGCAAATGGGACGGATTCTCCTGCCATGTCCAGAGTGTCTGTTACAAAGCAAACTTCCTGCACAGATCAGATAGAGGGCTGTTTTATGATCCTGGGGCATGTGATATGAACCATCCATCTTGTGTAAAATTGCCTACATCAAAGGCCATCAGAGGTTGTTGTCACAGCTTGGGGGGTGTTTGGACTCTAGCCCAGCACATGCTTTGTTTTTCTAGCATTTAATATTTCAGAATCTGGAGATGAAAGGATGCCTGCTAATTTGAAATTACCACCAGCCACTGCCTACTGTGTGTGTCTTATCTCCAAGCAGATGTGGAAAGAGAAGACTGATATTTTCTATCTATTGGGTTGACTTTTTAGCAGCCAGAAAATGAGGGCCTGCAAGGGGGGGTCCCGACAACGCTCTACGCTGAATTCGGAAACCTCTCGATTACGCTTAACGATAAATTCCAAGTGGCTACAACGCATTACGTAAACTTAAAACGCCGAATACACTCTACACAAAAATATTAGAGCGGTCCGTCTACGCTCTACGTAGAATTAAAACGGCCAATTACGCTCTACGGAAAGGGCTTGCAGGCCCCTGAAAATGTTTCCTACAGTCTTCCCTACCAACATCTGCCTGGAGATTACTGTTGGCCATCCCTCCTTATCCTGCCAAGTAATCATGCTCAGAAACACTTGACTCTAATGTCTTCTGTGAAAAGTTTGACAGAGTTCCATCATTTATCTTTGTTTGACTTTGAGCAAGAGAGCCCTGTTTGGAACAGTGCCCATCATGTTCTCACTCACTGTCTGGCACAGATTCATGAAAGTGTGCTCTCACATACAAAAAAGTTCATTCATGAAGTTCAGAGAAATGGCAAACATCTGTAATGTCTCACTGGAAACCCTATATGCTGTTGAGATCAAATATCTGTCTGTATCATGCTATAATGGCTGACTAGGATTGGGGTCATACCAATTCGATTTGTTGGTTCCCAGATTTAAAACAAACAAAAAATGAACTGGAAGATCCACATCAAAACAAGAAGTTGGGCTAGTGAGACAGTACATTTTTGGTATGCCAAAGGCAGATCCATGTTCCAGATTCATATCTTGCAAGGCAGTATTTTCTTGTGGCTGAATTTGTGATTAGGGAGTGAAGTCAAGCTTTTGAAACATTCATAATAGGTAGCTTTTCCCAGAACTCGGTTTAAATCATTTCTGTTTTGAGTCACAGCTAGTCTTGTATTTCACAGCGATTCTATCTCTAACTTGAACACTTACACAAACAGGATACAGCCAGATCGTGTTTCAAAATAAAAGGGTCCCAGTTACTTTCATCCATCTTATTATTCATCTTCTTTAGGGGTATTCATTCCTTGGAGGTTTAAGGATGTCTTGAGTTTGTAAACTGAATTAGAATGAGGAATGCCTTATAAGTTCAGCAACAGTTTACAATTTCATGTTTTTCTAAAAGATGATAGTAAATGTTTGAAATGACTAGAAAATGATTCATACATGTAAAGCTGTCTCTGTCCCTTGATCATATGTCCATGCTTGACTGGGTATGAAGAGAAGTTTTTGATTGTATCTTATCATCTACAATCAAAATTGTTAACTGACTCCTGAACTGGATGTTTGGGGATCCTGTTCCACACCAAAGCAGGTTGAAGTTTCACTAGTGCCAGTCTGAGGGTGGGATAATTAGAATGGAGAGTTGTTGACCAAAGCCCTCCTGATCTCATCCAGGATTTGCGCAGATTAGGCCAGCCAGCAGGAGTGTCTGTGCAGTTGTACTGGGTTATGCATGAGAGCTGGAGGGTGATCCTGCTTATTCAAGTGTTTTCAGGGGAGGAGGGGTAAGGTTACACAGGAGGGTTTGCAGGCCCTTGGGGTTTACAGACTAGTTACTAGGAGTTTGCTTTGACTTGTTGTTCCCCAGAGATACCCATGGTAAACAAAAAGTTTGAAACAATGACAACTAGAAAGGATTGTGATAGGAGCTTCTAGTTGTTTGCCTGCTGTGGTAAAAAAAAGTGAAGATTCTATGTATTCTAATTGAAAAGGGTGAGATTTGATTTGAAGTGTGAGAAGTCTGGAACTCAAAAAACAGAAGTAAAACAGTAAATTTGTATGTTGAAATTGGGAGAGCTGGAGGTACCAAACATGAAGATTTGAGTAAAGACCAGGACACTTCAGGCAGCCCATCCCATGTGTATCATCACTGCTTTGATCAACAGTCTCACCAGGTGGGCTGGTCCCCATGGCCGAGGGAGAAACCATATGTGTGTCATCTGATCAGTGATGACAGGCTAAGTCATTCCTCTTCTTAGGGGGTGTCGCAAACTAAAAAAACAACTTATTTCTAAAACTTACATTTCCTTTTTAGAGTTTACTAAGTCTGACAAGTAAGAATAGAGTTTTACTGTGGGAAAGAGTGAAAGATTGTTTGCAAAGATTTGATAAAAGTTGCGTTGTCATTGTCGCGACATTGTATCACCCCAGAAAAATGCAGAAATGGTACAGCCCGGTAATTCCTCAAGCCTGTGGGGGATGACTAAATCTGTCACTGGCATCACTTCCTGGCAGCTGAGCCACAGGCGCGGGGTCTGGATGTGTTTCCTCTGAGTTTTCCATGTGGGTTGTGGTTTCCCTCAGTCCCACTCTCCCAGCAGTTCTCTAAACTTCCTTTCCAGCCACCGGACTTTTGATTTTTACACTCCCGAGCAGAGAGAGGTAAGTTCCATGTTGCAGATCGCTGTTTTTTTCATTTCATGTAACTGTGTGAAATGTAGGAGGAAATGGTGAAAACAGCAAGAGGTCTGGGAGCAAGTTTGTTCTGGCAACCAACTCCAATTGTCCTTCATGGTATTTCCACCATTTGGAATTTGATGTTCCTGAATTCTGTTATTTGTGGAAAGTTTAACAGTTGTACAATTTTGTGTTGAGATGCTTTTGTGAAAAACCCACTTTTTTTCCCTCCGATAAGCGCTGTGTATTCAGACGGAGGTGTTAACTGTGTAAGTTGTCAAGTCATGACTGGGTGCTAATTTTTCACCCAATGTGTTAATAATAGAGTCAGCTACTGCTGTGGTGTTATCACCCCCAACCAGACTTACCGAAAATGGCCTTGACAATTGTGCGGAGCTTCCTACCATTTAACCTGCATTAGTCAAATTTTGGGTGGTCAGAGTTATAATTTCTTCTCGCAGACTTGACGGGTAGCAATTTAGTCAATAGGTTGTTTCCCTAACCATGTATTCAGTGCAGTCTCAAGTGACAACTTTTTATTTTTCGCCCCTAAATACTATCATTACAAGGGACACACCCAATTTTTTCGAAGTGAGGGGGTATGGAGAGTCTTTTACTGACTCTTCCTGAACTTTTAAACCCCTGCTAAGAAAGGGCCAGTATTGGGGTCACACTCCAGACATGTAGTTCTCATCCTATTGGCTTTATTTATGTTGCAAATCAGTGTTTGGAGCAGGGAGATCCCGTGGCCAAGGGATGAAAATTTGGATTTCACGGCTTGAATAGAGAAGGTGCCCATCAGTCTGGGGACTAGGCCTCCACAAAAGCACAAAACTTTCCTCTTTATGCGGCCCTTTTCATTGTTCTCTTTGTGGTTGTGGCTTTCCTTGTAGCGCGGACATTATGTTTTCTCAGTTTGGGAAAACTTCTCTTGTAGCCAAGGTAAACTTCTGACACCCTGTGGATGCGGTGCTGCTATTAGTATTACCCGTGTTTGTAATCCTTCCAGTTCATTGAGCGCCTCGCTTTTCTCTGAACCAAGGCCGCTGTCAGAGGCACCGAGAACTTAGCCCCCCTTTGTACTTGACCAATTGTTACAGGGTTGATTGCTATAATTATGTCCATATGCCCCGCTTGTTTGTGGTCCTGGGATTTCTGATTTATAATCCTGGCGGATCTATTATTCATAGGGCGCTTCCATTATGGATGACCATGGTCTGTGGAAACACATGTTGCCTGCAACAGAAGGGGGCATGATGAAGTGTGAACAACCCATTAACAAGTCTGTGAAATTCCTGTCCCTGTCTCTATGATGATAGATGATACCAGGCTGGTCAAAGGCAAGTTTGATGCCGCTCTGATAAAAAATACTATTTGTCAGAAATGAACTCAGAAGTTTGACAGCAGTCACTGAGTCAGACATGCAAAACATCGGTATCGCTTTTCCTGTTCTTGTCTCTGTATTGATATAGTCTGGTTTGATGTGCAGCTTTGATGAAAGCACTATCAGAAACAAACTTGCAAGTTTGACAGCAGTCTGGCATAGGAAAACATTAGTATCACTTTCGCAAGCAAGCTGAGAAGCTAGTGTTTCAGTCTTGCCACTTGTGTTCCCCACTGGGGCCATTAATTTTGTCAGAAGTTTCGGGATTAATGGCCAAAGTCACGAGAAGCTCAATGTCAATGGTAACAAGGCTGCTGTGTAGTCCTCAAGCTATGAAACTCTCCCGTGCATATTTCATATCAAAGTAGAACATCATATGAATTCTTTTCAAGAACTTCAAAGAAATGGAAATATTTCTGTCCCTCTGAACATAATCATGGTGTCAATGCCATGAATTCCCTTCTTGCTTATACTATTTCAGCAGAGTTCTTTGGCTTGGTTGTGTATACAGCATTTCAACCGAACTGAAAATATGTACATATCCGGCAGCAACCACATATTCAAGTGCATCCGATACACGGTCTGACCACCTAGGTAGTTTTGTTTATGTCACATGTGAGTGACAGTGTAACAAATATAATAGTTTGAGGGCAGTAACACCACTTACAAAGTTTATGTAAATAATTGTATTGGCAAATACTACAAAACAAGACTTAAACTTTGCATAGGTAGCCTCTGTTCCAGGCATTGGTTGGTGGCTGGCATGTAATGGCAATGTACCTCAGTGTCTCCTTTGGAGACTAGGCGTGCAATTGGTTTCCTTCTAGGCCAGCTATAGCTTTGACAAATACTTGTTAATTGCAGAAGGGTGTCAAAGAGGTCTTGATTATATTGTGGGAGTGAGCAGTGAGTGTGAAAATACATCCATATGCGGTCAAGTGGAAACTAGACCAGGGCATCGACTCTGGATGTTTGTGTTTCGTGTAATCTGAAAGTATTAGTAACATAAAAGATCAGTAATGAAATATTTCGTTTTAAAATGGAAGGTAGAATAGTGCTAAAAGGGTTAAAAACCTTCTTGGATGATGACATCAAAAGCATAAACACATGGCCTTTAACTCAGAGGATCAGAGAAGTGACCCTTTGAGGTCAGAGCCAATATGTTCTATCTATGTTATTACCCCAGGACTGAGGCAGGGCAGAGCTATTTCCTGGCTATCATGTAATATTTATATACCTACACTTGGCTGGTCGCACACTCTGCCTTATGTCAAGGGTTACTCAGTACAGTGCAGGGTTTGCTCTATTGCTTTTCCTCACGGTCGTGTGGATGGGATTAGTGATGATTGGGGTTTTCAAGTCTGAAAGTGGGCTGTACAAGCTGTTACTTCGAGGGTAAAATTTTCATGTTTGATTTATGGCTGATAACTGGAAAGCAAGAACTTAATTATTGGGAACATGCCTGCTCTTGCAATATTTATATTCACAATACCTAAACCTATTTTGGAAAATGTCTTGAATGGATTCTATGTACAATATACTTTTGAAACTATACAGTACTCTTGACTCTAGAGTTTCTTGATTTTTTGACATACTTTTTTCGAAGAGACATAAAATGTACAAGACTACAGCTGAGTTGTATATAGCAAGTGACAGACAAGCCATACATATACAATAGCCAAAAACTGACTTGAAATATGGCATAACATAGAAAGATGCCAATGCCGTTTTTGGTTATTAGGGTAGAGTGTTCTGTCCCTGTCTATAACTAATCCTCTCATATTTCAGTAAGATCCCATTCCTTGAATATGTGATTCTTATAAAGACTGCTTTGATGTTTGTCCATTGTTCATAATGCTGTAGGGATGCACATGAAGCGGTTTTAACTCTTTCTTTTCCTTCTACCTTTGATGTATCTTCTGAATCCCTCTCTCTGCTTATCAGTTGTTTTGTTCCTTGCCTTTTCTTTCTCATTACGACCTGAGAATGGAGTTTGGGGCGGCTACACTCAGCAGATGTTGCTCCCCTGGCCAAGGTCTCCCGCTGAGAAGATTACCTATGATTACCCCCTGTCCATTCCCTACCTGTAATTATTTCCCGCTTTCCAAATCTCCATTCAACTCTTGGCAACTTTTCCAGCTGCCCAACGCGTAACACATGTTCACAAAAGTGTTTTTCTGAAAGGTTACTAACCTTTAGGCCAGCGATAAAAAAGAGTAGGGTGAACTTGAAGCACAACATGAAAACATGGCCTAAGGGGAAAGCCTGTACACAGTATCAGGGAGTGAATGTAGCTAAAAGTTATTCTCCTCACAGCTTTGATTCATCATCACGTCCTGCTAAAGTTTTGAGGAGCAAGGAAACAAGATGGTTTGACATTATGCCTCGGAATCAGGGATTTTAGTGTTCCCTAGGACGAAACCGGAAGGCGGGGGTCGTAAGGAGACAACCGCGGGTATGACACATGCCATGTCGTGTTGTCTGGTTTAGCGGGGCAGAGTGGGGGAGGAATGCTGTAAGCGGACAGAGTTCAACACCCCGAGGGCGTCGCTGTCAGGTCGGGCGCTTCGCAGAGACAAGAGGGAAATGGGCATTATTGTGGTGGGCCTGGCAGGTGAAGTGGTAATACCCACCTGTCAATGTGATGTATGCAGGGGCCAGGGAGGACAACGGACAATGGAAATGCTGGGTCCTGAACAATCGTTGGTCACACTGAGACCTGTAGTGTCCAGAGGCAGGGGGTTAGACCACCAGGTGAGGTTTGAATTGCTTTCCAGGTGACCCACCTTGTCATTAACGCGATCGCTGGCTCGAATCCAAACCACAGGGACATCGTTCCCCATAAGCCAACTGTTCTCCGTGGTGAATGGCAGAACACGCTGACTGGGTTCGCGGAGCACACAGAGCTTCTAAATTGAAGGTGACATTGGGGGAGTGTTCACCTGGCCAAATCACTACAATCTACCTGGTAATTACATCCTTCCCAGCGGCTGTAACTACCTGCTTTACAACTGCAGAAGAAAAGGCAAGTGCGGCGTTTTCGTGGTGGTCTTTGTTCGACATGTCTTCTCTATCCAGCCTTTGTTTCGGCGCGTTGACTGTCAGTATCTTACAGTTGATGTTTCGTTCATCCCTCTTTAAATTACTTTGATGAGCTGCATTGTTTGCTAATTATAAAGGGCTGTGGTAGCCTCTGGAGGTTTTGTTTCTTGTAGAGATTTTAATCTTATTCGTGACTTGAAAGCATACTCCTTACAGCTCAGACCTGCCATAACCTGGTTTCCTTAGTGTCTGGTCTGTAGACCATTTTATAGCTCACTCCCAGATGGTACTAAAAACATCTATAAGCTCCATAAACTCAAAGTAGAATTTGTCGGCTATATTCATTATGGTTTGATTAGAGTTCAGCCTGGGGGCTGGGCTCATTTGCGTCTTGCCGTGGGAGTTTTTCTTAATTCGTGCCCTTCTAATAATAAGTTCTATTCCTCAGAGAATGTAACCTTTTTGTACTCAAACATTTGCATTACTGTTAATATTTTCAGTAGCAACATTTTATGAATGTTAATTATGTGGCTTCATTACCCAGTCAGCCGTATTATTA